CAAGCACCTACTAGGCTGGGCCCATCAATCTGTCATTAAATTTACTCATTAAGTCTTATTTTTCCCAAACATCAACAAAACAGTATGCTTCATTAAATAAACTTTATGATTAACTTCCGCCTTCTAAGAATGAATACATGCACAAATCCATCTAGAAACTCAGTCCCTAAACTCTGTTTCTCATAAGCTGTGGGGCACCCCTGTCTATGACAAAGGTTCACAAATTCATCAATACTATAGTAAAACTTGGTTGAAACCAGTGGTTCACAAAAGAGCTACTTTTATGATTTTCCTTTCACCAGGAATTGCTGTAATATCAACCACTAATTAAGAGGGAATGTGCTTTTTCTGCTGCTAAAAATAGATGGAGAACATTGATCACTGGGGCCTGAGGTCCCCATTTGCCACACAAATGGTTTTAGAAGAGTTGTGAACCTGAAGCGTTTTTTGTTTGTTTTTCTGAGACAGGGTCTTGCTCTGTCACCCAGGCTGGAGTGTAGTGGTGCGATCTCAGCTCACTGAAATCTCTGCCTCCCAGGTTCAATCAATTCTCCTGCTTCAGCTTCCCAAGTAGCTGGGATTACAGGCATGCACCACCACACCTGGCTATTTTTTTTTTTTTTTTTTTAGTAGAGACAGGGCTTCGCCATGTTGGCCAGGCTGGTCTCGAACTACTGAACTCAAGTGATTTGCCTGCCTCGACTTCCCAAAGTGCTGGGATTACAGGCGTGAGCTACCATGCCAGGCTGATCCTTCAGTTTTGATAACCATTTGTAACTCATTGCATAGATGAGAACAGACTGGAAGTCAAATGCTCTATTTATAGAATCTTGTGTAATATAAAGTCTTCCCAGCATTGCTTTCCAAAATGGCATTTTCTAAAGAGGGAGAAAAGAAGATTGCTCTTGAAAGTTGCCTTTTGTAGAGTACATCTGGGTAAATATTTTACATATCAGAAAATCTAAATGATGAATAGAGGCCTACAATGTTATGAAACAGAGGATATGTTTAGAATAAACATATGGATCAATAAGGATGATTCACTTAAGAGGGACTGTCAGGTCATTCTGATCTGGGGACACCTTGCAAAATTCTAAAGAGGGAAAATGCCAGACTAGGTATGCTCCCTCAGTTGGGCTCAGCTGCAAAAGTTCTAGGGGTTGCATCTTATCTATTTCTTGAATCAAGAACTGTTTACTTTTTCCTGTGACATTCTCGTTAGGAAGAGAATGGCTTCTCATATTCCAAAGAGGTTAGTGTCAGTGTTTTGTTTAAAAATTTATTAAACATGGCTGGGCGCAGTGGCTCACGCCTGTAATCCCAGCACTTTGGGAGGCAGAGGTAGGTGGATCATTTGAGGTCATGAGTTCAAGACCAGCCTGGCCAATATGGTGAAACCCTACTTCTATTAAAAATACAAAAAGTTAGCCAGGTGTGGTGGTGCACACCTGTAATCCCAGCTTCTTGGGAGACTGAGGCACGAGAACTGCTTGAACCCTGGAGGCAGGGTTGTAGTGAGCCAAGATTGCGCATTGCACTCCAGCCTGGACAACAGAGTGAGAATTTGTTTCGAAGAAAAAACAAAGCATAAAAATTATTAAACAATCTTTACAAAGATATAAGAGGACGAGAGCATACAATTCTAGAGCATCAAAAATAAAGATACAAGAGGGCTAGAGCGTCAAATCCAAGTTAATACACAAGGTATATTAACAAAATATACAAACAGTGTTAAACGGATGACTCTGCCCCCAAGGATTTTCTGTTTGGCCCACAGTGTGGTTTCCTTGTTTAAGATACAAGCAGAAAAGGACTGACAAGCAGAGCCCAGTGGATACCAGAGATGAGGCACAAGGCAAGAAGCGCAGTATGCATTATTGTTGAAGGGGGATTTAGTCTCACATTCATGGAAAGAAACAAAGACTGTCCAAAATCTGCCAGGGAAAGAGCACAAACATATGTCACAAATAACGACCCTGGAGCTGAAAGTGAGGAACAAAAAGCAAAGAGGCCGACATGCACCGCAATGCAGCCATGGACTCTCTAGAAGGTGAGTTGGTTGGGTTGTGCAATGGGGCTAAACAGTGCATCCACCAATTGCCAACTTTGCTTCCCTTTCTAGAAAAGACACCCTTTCTCTGACTCCTTTCCATTGCCCTGGCATCTTCTATTCCTAAGGACCTGGTGAGAATTGTCACCTTCCCAGCTAATATCTAGTGAACTTTTAGGTGAAGCCAACATCTGTAATTACTGGGTAGGATAGTTGGCTGGACACATGGCATATCTCCCTCCCAGGACTCATTCCACCGGAACTCTCCAAAGAACTTTTACTTAATTCAGTGGGAGCACTTGAATTTATGCCCCATTAAAGTTCCCTTTTGAAAATTACAAGCTGAAGCCACATCTAACAACTATGATGTTCTCTGGATCCCACACACATCCCAAAAATGGAAAATTCATTTCATGGTCACAGAACCAATAAAAAATATGACTTCATTTGAAATGCCCAAATTTTTTTAAAAAACAAAATTAAATGGTTACAGGTGTTTATAAAAGTCTTTATGTGCATAGCATTCTACCAACACTGGACAGACTCTGAAAAGATTCTCCTACGTCATAAGAAATTACAGCTTAGACTGGAGGTCATTTTTTTTTTCCTTCGGTGAGATTTGCTTTTAGTTTCAAATTTAGCATTTTTGTTTTAGTGCCAGTGTCAAAGTTAGACCTCTTAATATTTATGTTCTTACTCATCTTTCATTAGCCACAGAAAAAACAAGTGACACTAGTGTCTCATCTCTAGACTTGGTTACATAAATGACTCTGGGTGTGACCATCTCGGATGAGTCCGTAAGTCAGTCAACCAACATAAGACCCCACTGTGTGTCAGGTAGGACCCAAGTTCAATAGGAAAAGCTCATGCAGTCATGTTTCTATTGAAGATCAGAGTCCCAACCTTCAAGTAATATGAAATACATAGCTGAGCTAAGACATCTCCAGGTTTCAGGAGTACTTGTTTGGAGGGGTGCCCCCTTACTTTTTACCTGGCTTTTGATGAACATTCTTAGGGAATTGCAGACATAAACACAAGGACCAAGGACCCCGACTCCACCATTAAATTCCCCAAATAGTCTACAATCTTTAGTGCATATAGGAATCTCCGGGCTTATGCCTGATGGTCCCCAGAGGATCCTGTAAGGAGCAGGTGCAAGTCCGGACCTGTAGCTGCTGGGGAACTTTCATGCCCTGCAACAAAGGGCCAGAGGTGGATCCTCTCTCAGGAAAGCTTTGCAGCAATGAAGGCTCTTTATGGACAGCTAAGCATGGAGTTGGCACAAACTGCTGCCTGACACTTAGGGCTGTCCATGCCCTGGTGCCAGCCTTTCAGCCACCACTGCCCTTCCTGTACTCTATCCAGCCCTATTCAACTGCCCAACAGAACTCCTTGTTTTCCCTCTTAGGTGTTAAAGCTGTCCCAGCTTCCAGCTGTTGCTCATGCTGTTCTGTATGGAATGTCCTTCTTTCTCATCTCTCTATTCTTCCAATTCATGTACATTTTCTAAATGCATTTAAAATGTCATAATCTCCATGGAGGCTCTTCTCATTCATCCCCCAATAGAAGTTTCTCTGTCTGCTCTGAATTCTCCACATATTCTCTCTCTCTCAGTTTCTTATTGTTTATTACCTTTTAACTTGTATAACAGTCATTTCTTTTCATCTGTTACCTTCCCTGTAAAACTGAGAAGTACGAGGACCTAGAGTCCAGGTTTTCTTGATGACTGTGTTTCTAGCATCTAGCCCAGTAATTCCACTGTTTTTGAAAACCAGGTTCTGCACAGCCCTGGGGTTCCAAAGATGTGACCTGGTTCCAAAGAGGGGTAGAAAGTGGACAAGGACCTGGGGAAGACCCCTTCCCCACAATCTGTGCTTTGGTTAGGTAGGTTTTCATTTGAAATCTTCTATATATTGGGATTCATATAATTTTTTAAAAAAGGATTCTTCTAGAGATAGAAAAAAGGAAGTCACTGTAATAGATAATTGTCAAATAAATGAATAGAATTACACTCAATACCTCTAACCCTTTCTCCCTCAGGGACAATAAAATTTCAGTGATAAAAAATGAGTGGCAAAGGTTCAGGGTGGCTGTCAATCGAAGAACATGGTCAAAATTGAGGGCCCTTTCTCTTGTTCTGTACAGAACTATACTGAAATTTTAGTTTTACATTAAAATAAAGCTCTGAATGAGTTATGTTGAAGGTGTTAAACAGAACTATCCTGGCACCTGGTTCTGGGTGTGTGTGTGTGTGTGTGTGTACATTAGCACATCCACTATGCTTTCATCTCAATGTAACTTCAGGGATATAGAAGAGAGTTATAAATGAGGCTGATGCCTCTTGATTTTCCTCTACTTCCCCTCTTACCACCAAATAAATTTACTACTCCTTCAGTCTTCTCCATGAATGGATATTAGCGTCATTTACTAATATCCCCAGAATGGGTATTAGTAAATGACGCTAATATCCATTCTGCTGCTCAGGCTAAAAATCTAGGAGTTTTCTTTGATTTCTCTCATTCCTTCATGCCCGACATCCGATTCACAAGTAATATTGTTGAGTTTGCCTGTGAAACACAGTCTGAAGCAGCCATCTCTCTCTGCCAGACACTACGAGCTGCCATGGTTCAAGGCCTCACCACCTCACATCTACGTTACTGCAGTCACCTCTTCTCTGCTTCCCACCTTCCACTGTCTCCTCCCTATAATCCATTCTCCAGGCAGCAGCAAAAGTCTTGTTTAAAACTCTCATCAGACATAGAGTAAAACTCTAACTCCTAACTGGTCAAAAATAATCGAGCTAACACATATATCTCACTCCAAACTAAACAAATTTGTTCACTCTGATAATCTTAGGTTGGGGTTTTTTCCTTTAAGAAAATAAATTAGTGGATGACTGAGCAGAGAGACAGAAAAACTGACACCACACTCAAAAACAGAAATGACTTACGGCTTCAGATTTGGGAGGCACTGGAGGTGGAGGTAGGGCAGTATCTGAAGACTTCATTGCTGCTCCCAGAGTCCCAGGGATGGGAAGAGGTGAAGTTGCACATTTGGATCGGACAGAACCTCTAAACTGATCACATCTGCTCTTCTCGCTCAGGGAGCGAGTGAGAGGCTGATGGCTGGGCTTGCCTTCCTCCAGCCACAGCTCTTCGTAGGGAAGTTCTGACTTTCCTGGGACACCTGCTGATTCTTCACTAGCTTCCGGAAAAAGGTAGTCGCTCCCACTATCACCAGAGTCCTGATACGGCAGGATGTCATGAGCAAAGGGGGCCCAATCTCCTCCCAGGTCCCTGCAACCATGAAGGTTCACCTCGCTGTTGCCATGGAGATTGTTACCATACACACAGACCGAGAGTCGGTGGAAGGACTGTGTGAGCTCATCGCGGGCGTAGCTGAGGGAATTGGGCACGTGGTTGTGGCCAGAGCACCGGCCCTTCTTGGGGCTCTTGCAGTCCTCATTCCAGTCGGTTTTCACATCACGGACAGCCCGTGAATACTCATCGATGTCGAACTGTTCTTGGCAGATACCTAGCCAGTGATGGACCAGGCTTTCGGGCCATCCCTCTCCCTTCACCAGGTGTTCTGGGAGGCTGAACTTGGGGAGAGTCAAGTGCAAAGGAAAGTGCATGGGGAGGATCTTGTTGTTCCGCAGCACACAGCAAACCACCACCGTCTTGGTCTGGATGTTCACAAACTTGTAGCGGTGCCCTTCACGGATGAAGTGGAGGTCGTACGGGTTTCTCGGCGGGGGGCTTGGCACAGTCACATTCACAGGAAGCCTGGTCTTTTCCACAATGTTGCGAATGGTGTGTTCGCCCTCTTGCATCTGAAGTTCCAGGGGACTCCGGGTGCTAAATCTGCCCTTGCACTGGAATGGAAGGCTAATGCTTTCATTGGTCCGGTGATTCATGCAAATGAGGCACGGCATTTTGCCTTTTCCCAGCTTGCTGATGGAATTGAGCTTCCCAATCTTTTTGAAGATTGTATTGAGTCGTGACTTTTCCTTGAATGTCTTTGCATAAAGGATTTCTGCTTGCCCCATTAGAGTGAGTTCATCCCCAGTACACAGGGTGATGTTGTAAACTTCAGTGTCTTCATTGCATTCACCTGAAGCAACCTACAATATAATAAGTCATATTTTAGGTTCATTTCCTTTGATCTATTCACGCAAAGAAGAACTTCCTATTAAGACACACACAAGCCAGGCACGGTGTCTCACACCTGTAATCCCAGCACTTTGGGAGGCTGAGGTGGGCAGAACACCTGAGGTCAGGAGTTTGAGACTAGCCTGGCCAACATGGTGAAACTCCATCTCTACTAAAAATAGAAAAATTAGCTGAATGTGGTGGCGGGCACCTGTAATCCCAGCTACTCAGGAAGCAGAGGCAGAAGAATCACTTGAACCGCAAGGTAGAGGTTGCAGTGAGCTAAGATTACGCCATTGTACTTCAGCCTGGGTGACAAGAGTGAGACTCCCATCTCAAAAAAAAAAAAAAAAAAAAGACACAAATACACACACAGAGGAAAATGCTATGCTCTTCTTTAATACTAAATTTAGGCACTTCATTTCTTTTATTATACTTATGTGGTTAACAATAACTACTTTTTGTTCAAGATGTTATTAGTTTAGAATTTTATAAACATCTCTTTTCTCTCTATATATGCAGAGTAGTCTATCATATGGATATTAACAGGGGTATTGTCATTTTTTCTTTTTTGGTTATAAATAATGTTTTCATGAACACAATGTAGAAAATTCCTTGTTTATTTAAATTTTTAAAATTTGAAATTGAAACAAAGAACTTAAAAATGTGGTATTTCTCCATTTTAAAAAATTATACACCCATTATTTATGTTAATTGGAAGAAATATTAGAAAACAGAAATATAGAAATGAAAAACTTTTATCTGTAAAATTTAATAGAAAAAGGAAATGGACTTGATCTATCTATCTCAGAGATACATATAGATACAGATATACACAATTCTGTTACCTGAGTTTCTAACTATAATCTATCCATTTCCCTGGGGATACTTCATCAATAGTAATACTAACCTAATGTATTCCATTTTGTATGAATGTGCATTAATTTATTTGACTAGTTCCTTCCTGTTAGATAAAAATATAGATGGGCTTTCCCATTGTATAGCAATTATAAATAGCACTGCAAAGAGCTTTTTACAGCTCAATTATTCCCTTAGGATAAAGTACCAGAAAAACTGCAGGGACAAAAACTATTCATGTATTTTTGTTTTGTTTTTTAAGACAGGATCTTGGTCTGCTGCCCATGCTGGAGTGCAGTGGCTTGATGACAGCTCACTGCAGCCTTGACCTCCCAGGCTTAAGGAAGCCTCCCACAGCCTCCTGAGTAGCTGAGACTACAGGTGTGAGCCACCACACCTGACTAATATGCATATATTTGAAAGGTCTAATATGCACTGCCCATTATGCTTTCCTCAACATACTTATTTACACTTTTACCACTTTATGAAATTATGTCTCCCTATACTCACACTAAAGTTTATTTCATGTTTACCAGTATGAGAGGTAAAGCATGAATACTGAATTTATTCTTTTATTAATTTTAAATATATTTATTGGTATATTCATTTTTCCGTATTTATCTGATTATTTAGATCTCTTACTGATTGCTTTTTATGTAATGAGAATGTAATGTCATTTATACTATGTATTTTTCCATTTGTTGTTTGAATTACAATTTTATAGCTTAACTATTAAAGTTGTTTCTTAAAAAAGTAGTCAATATTTTCAAAATTTTGCTTTGTGATTTCATTCTTGTGTGCTATGCTTCTAGCTGAGATAATATAGATTCATGATTCTGAACCAGGAGTGACTGTATCTTCTAGAGGATATTCTCGAAATGTTTGGAGACAGTTTTGATTGCCATGACTGGGGAAGCTGCTGCTTGCATCTAGTGGGTAGTGGCCAGGGAAGCTGCTCAATATGCTATAATGCCCAGGACAACTCCCCACAGCAAAGAATTAGCCGGTGCAAAAATTTCAGTGGTGCTGAGGTTAAGAAACGCTGGTATAATTTCCAGTGTTTTCTTTTAGTACTTTGCTATGAGTACTATTTATAGCTCTATTTATTTTTTTCTGAATCCTAACCACTAGCGCAACACAGAATGTAACTCTATTTACTCTGGTGGATTATTTAAGGTGGTATTTATTTATTTATGTAAGTTAACTGAGTGTCGAGTACACTTCCTAAATAGCCATCCCTCTCATAACTGATTTGATATAAAAGTATATAATTATGATATAAAAGTATATAATCTTATACAATAAAAGTGTCACTTTTATTGTATATGATTATATACTTTTATATCATAAATTATTAAAAATATATAAATTTTTATATACTGACTTCATAAAATACATACATTCAAATATGTACCTATATGTCCATCTATTTTGAGGCCATTTGTCTTAGCTACCTTTCTGTCTATTTTCTCACTGTAACTATGTTGTTTTTAATTTCTGTGTCTTTATATTTTCAGATCTCATATCAAAAGCCCTGATTTGTGTTTACTTTGACTCAAAAAGTATGTGGATGGCAGAGAAATAAAGTCAAAAGTCTGATGACAGACTGAAAATATTTATAAAACATATCACAGATAAGGAGCTAGTATCTCTAACATACAAGCAGCTTTTTAAAAGTAAGGACCCAAGACCATCCTGGCTAACATGGTGAAACTCCGTTTCTACTAAAAGTAAAAAAAAAAAAAAAAATTAGTTGGGCGTGGTGGCATGCACCTGTAGTCTCAGCTACTCGGGAGGCTGAGGCAGGAGAATCGCTTGAACCCAGAAGGTAGAGGTTGCAATGAGCTGAGATTGCGACTCTGCACTCCAGTGTGGCAACAGAGTGAGGCTCCGTCTCAAAAAGAAAAAAAAAAAAAAAAAGACTAAAAGTGTTGGAGAAAAACAGGCAAAATATATGAAAAATCAATTAACTAATAAGATGCACAATGGTTTTTAAACCTATGAAAAGATGTTCAACTTCTCTCCTCATAAGAGAAATGTCAATTAAAATTACACTAAGATACCATTTCTCACCTAACACATTGATTAAAAATTCAGAAGCTTGACATCACACTCAGTTGGTAAGGCTATGGGGTAAAAGGCATCCTTGTCCATAGCTGGTGAGAATACAGCATAATATAACCCCTGTGGTGGGGAAATTGGCAGCATCAAGCCAAATGACATGCATTTATTCCTCCACCCAGCAATCCTACATCTAGGAATTTACCCTGAATACATTCCTCCAACAATACAAAAGTACACACGTATAAGGTTATTCAGTGCAGCATTATTTATCTTTGCAAAATATTGGAACTCATCTAAATGCTCAAATATAGGAGGCTGACAGAATAAATTATGGGACACACACTTCCTGGTACTATACAAAAAAGAATGAGAATAATGAGTCCAAGGAATGGATATGAAATAACTTTCAAGGATATATTGTTAAATAAAAAAAAGCAAAGTGCAAAAAAAGTTTATACAGTATACTTTTTTTTGTTTAAGAAGAAAGAAAAAAAATAGTGCATATGTTTTCTGTTTGTTTTTGTTACCAAAAATAAAAAATAAAAAGAAACACAAGAAAAACCAGAAAATAATGAAACTGGTTACTTACTGTAGCTAGAGACAAGGGAGGAAACGACACCTTTCTAAGTATACCTTGCCACAGAGTTTTGATTTCAAGGATGTATGCTAATGTGCCACACATTTTAAAAATTAGGTTGACAAGAATTTTTTAAGATTTAAAAAAAAATGATACCTTAAGTTCGGGGATACATGTGCAGAACATGGATGTTTGTTACATAGGTATACATGTGCCATGGTGGTTTGTGGCATCCACCAACCTGTCATCTACATTAGGTATTTCTCCTAATGCTAACCCTCCCCTAGTCCCCCACCCAACAGGCCCCACTGTGTGATGTTCCCCACTCTGTGTCCACGTGTTCTCATTATTCAACTCCCACTTACCAGTGAGAACAATGCGGTGTTTGGTTTTCTGTTCCTATGTTAGTTTGCTGAGAATGATGGTTTCCAGTTTCAACCATGTCCCTGAAAAGGACATGAACTCATCCTTTCTAATGGTTGCATACTATTCCATGGTGTATATGTGCCACATTTTCTTTATCCAGTCTATCGTTGATGGGCATTTTGGGTTGGTTCTAAGTCTTTGCTATTGTAAAGAATAGCAAAGACATACGTGTGCATGTGTCTTTACAATAGAATGATTTATAATTCTTTGGGTATATACCCAGTAATGGGATTGCTGGGTAAAATATTATTTCTGGTTCTAGATCCTTGAGGAATCGCCACTGTGTTCCACAATGGTTGAACTAATTTACACTCCCACCAACAGTGTAAAAGCGTTCCTATTCCTCCACATCCTCTCCAGCATCTGTTGTTTCCTGACTTTTTAATGATCGACATTCTAACTGGCGTGAGATGGTATCTCATTGTGGTTTTGATTTACATTTCTGTAATGATCGGTGATGATGAGCTTTTTTTTCATGTTTTTTGGCCACATAAATGTCTTCTTTTGAAACATATCTGTTCATATCCTCTGCCTACTTTCTGATGGTTTTTTTTTCTTGTAAATTTATTTAAGTTCTTTTAAAACTGAATGCAACTGGAAATAAATACAAAATCCAACTGTATTTCAAATCAATAAAATAACCACTCTGGGGAAAGAGAAATAATCCAAGTAGTTTTGGAATGCTGTCTGATGCAGCTTGGCTGTGACCCCAACCAAATCTCACCTTGAATTGTAATAATCCCCATGTATCAAGGGAGGGGCCAGGTGAAGATAAGTGAATCATGGAGATGGTTTTCCCCATGCTGTTCTCATGATAGTAAGTGAGTTATCATGAGATACGGTTTTACAAGAGGCTTCCCACAACACTGGGTACTCATTCTCTCTCCTGATGCCCTGTGAAGAGGTGCCTTTCTCCATGATTTAAAGTTTCTGGAGGCCTCCCCAGCCATGCACAACTGTCAGTCAATTGAACTGTTTCCTTTATAAATTACCCAGTCTCGAGCAGTTCTTTATAGCAGTGTAAGAACGGATAATACCCTATCTTTG